TAGACATAAAGCAAAAGGATGTTTTTTAATTGATTACAGAAGTTGTCATTCTTTTAAAAATTGTTTAGTAGAATAATGTTCCTTTATTTTATGAAAATTTAATTTTGGGGGGTTGTTCTGACTTAACAGGTCTTTGCTTTTAACAGGTTAAAATCAAATGTATAAGAAAAATCACTGTTAATGGCCTCCATTTCAAGAAAATACGATTTTAGAAATCGCAGGTATGTATTAACTTGTGTTTGTGAAAAGGCATCAGTTTTTTTATTGTTGTAAATATATATAGAACACAACATTTATCAATTCAACATTTTTCAGGTGTACAATTTGGTGGTATCAATTACATCAATCATGTTGTGCAACCATCGGCATAATTGTTGCCAAATTTCTCATCGCCATCAACAAACATTCACTGCTTTCTAAACAATGGTTCTCCATTTCCTCCTCTCTCCCACCCCTTATAAGAACTTATATTAATGACTATAAACTTTAGTCTCTATACACTTGCCTATTTTTATTATTTCATGTAAGTGAGATCTTACAATAGTCGTCCTTTTGTGGTTTACGTATTTCACTGAGCATGCATAAGATTTTCGAGTTTTTTCCATGCTGTAGCATGGATCAGGGCTTCATTTCTCTTTATGACTGAGTGGTATTCCATTGTATGTTTGTACCACATTTTGTTTATCCGTTTATCCGTTGATGGACACTTAGGTTGTTTTCACCTTTTAGCACCTATTTTTCTTAACATCTAAATTTCAAAATGATGATAAACTCACAGGAAGTTGCATAAACATAAAGCGCCTTGCACTCTTCGGCTAGCTTCCTTCAGTGGTCGCACCTTATATAACCGCGGTACAATAGCAATGCCAGGAATTGACATTGGTATAATAATGTCAACTAGACTACAGGCCCTATTTAGCTTTTCGAGGGACTAATATATATATGTGTGTGTGTATGTGTGTGTGTGTGTGTGTGTGTGTGTGTACATAGTTTTATGTAATTTGATCCCATCTATAGATTTTTTTTACAGCCACCATAATTAGATGCAAATCTGTTTCAAAACCACAAAAAACTCCTTCATAATGTATTTTTATGTGGTCACCATGAAAATGAAATCTACTCGACAGCAACTATCAGCAACAATAGTCTCACCTACCCCCTTCCACCTCCATCTCCATCCCTGGGTAGTCACTAATCTGTGCTCCATCTCTATAATTCAATCATTTCCAGGATATAATTAAATGGAATCATATGATGTGTAAAAATGGAGTCTGGCTCTTCTCACTCAGCGTAATACCTTTAAGTTCCATCAAATTTGTTGTATATATGCATAGTTCATTTCTTTTGATTACTGAGTAAAATTCTTTTTTTACAACCCAAGTTCTGTCAATATTCTGTGATAGTTTAAATGTTAATAGGTCCTTGTTTGGGCACAAAACTGACTTATTTATTTTTGAGAAATGTTTCATGGGTTAGATGATTATAGTTAAGACTTGTTCTTCTTGGAATTTTCTTTAAGCTAACCCCAGTCAAGACTCTCATTCTTTCTCCTCCAAGAATAAAACTGAAATACCGAGAGTCTGAGAAGGTCCCATAATCAGTCAAGGATCTGGTGAACACTGCCAATGTCCTACGTTAACTCTGTTGTGAAAGTTCCCAAAGTCATCATTATTAGTCAAGAGCAAAGTCAGTGAAAAGCACTTGAGTATAAGAAAATTGCCAAATATTTTCACTTGTTGTGACACAAAATACTGATTGCAATTGCAAATAACTGGGCAATAACAGATATTATGCTAAGTGAAAGAAACCAAAAGCAAAAGACCTGATAATATATGGTTCTATTTATATGAAACGTGCAAAAGTGTCAAATCTCTAGAGACGGAAAGCAGATCAGTGCTTCTCTTAAGTTGGGAGTGGGAGTAGGAATTAACTGTAAATGGGCAGAAGGAAACATTTTGAGGTGATGGAAAAATTCTAACATAGATTGTAGGGATGGTTGCGCAACTCTACATATTTACTAAAAATCATTGAATGTACAGTTGATATTGTTAGGTGCTGTCGAGTAGGTTCCAACTCATAACCACCCTGTGTACAACAGAAGGAAACACTACCCAGTGTGGGCCATCCTCACAATTATCGCAATGCTTAAAACCA